GGCGTGTGGTACTTGGCTGTATCGCGATATCGTGAAATCTCGTTAGCCTCGCTTGGCGCGACTGCTACGGTGCATCAGCCGTCGGTTCGATGAGCGACAGGACTCTAATGAAACTGTGCGGCACAGGTGGCGAGGGTCGGACTGGTATTTGCTGATGGTATCGCTGCTGGATCCCTCGAGACAAATGAGCCAACAGGGGATGTTTTTTTTTTTTTTTTAACCTACGTAATTACAACACTCTGTGACTTTTCTCGAATAAAGTTGAATTTTCATTATTCAACTTACCCGATCGTCTCTGATTTTTCCCGTAAGTTGAGTTTTATTCAGTAAATTTATCGCAGCGGTACGTAGGTCTTCCTTGACCATAAAATGATGTAGGTGTGCACACTAGTCAAATTACTTTGGACACTGGCAATGTTTTAACGTTGTATATATACAAGGCGAGCGCGCAGCCATTACGGTCATCAAAAATAAATTTCCAAGCAAATTAAAACAACAACAGCGACGATAATGAATCAAACGGAATCCAGTCAAATGCACATTTGCGCACGTATATACATATACCGCGAGCGAGGATAAAAATTATGCCTACCGGGCGAGGGAAATCTCTTGATGTAACTTTAAAATTCGTTGCAAATTCAAAGAGGGAGAGAGAGTTCCCTTTTACCTCCCGTCCCGAGTGCGGTGACTGTCGCGCGTCGCCATGAAAAAAGCAGTCCGATCATTTTTCCCCGCTGAAAAACTTTTCCCTCTCCGGCCCGCGTTCCGGAAATCACTTGTAGTGCCACATGACAAGCCAACCCCGCGATCGTTAGTACCTGCACTGTTAGTCGAAAGAAGTACCCGTTATTTTTGGTTGTCTCGCGCAACGACCTCGACACGCCTTTTGCAAACAGCCTCTATCGTGTTTACATATACGTATATATAAAAGCGAGCAAAACTTTTCGATCCCCCCCTCCCCCAACCAACACTTGTATGGGTAATCACAGGCACATCAGAAACATACTCGGTCACTTGCATATACACGCAAAGTTTTTCGCTTCGTGCAATAATAGTAGAGCAAGCGAGAGAGCTTACCTTTTTGTCATCCATCATCCAAATCCCCTCCATACTCGTCATTTCGCACTTGTGTGTGTGTGCATATTCATCTCCTCGATCGAAACAAATTCAGTGTCACTTAGCTTCCTCTCTCTGGCGCGTTAAAAGCAGCTTCTGCCGGGGAGCTTTGACAAAGAGCCATCACGGAAGGGAGAGCGAGTCAGCTGTATACACACGTGTATGTACAGTGCGACCGCAGCTTCCCCGAAACTCGGCCTCTCCTGCTTACCCTCGCTTCGAGAGCCAAATTAGATTTGCGCCGTGTACGTGCACGTCCTTTTCCCCGGGACGACTCTGCCCCGACCGCTGGGGGGGGGAGGCTCTGATTACCAGGTGCATTTTGGTGCTTTGACGTCCCTCGCGTAGCAAAAATTTAGCCGCACCACCTGTGCAACACCTTATTCACCGCGCCGATGTACCCGTGTATTACGATTGAAGCGGCCACTCGACGCGCAAAATAAGACCCGGCTCGAGAGGATTAATTTGAAAGTGCGCACAGGCGGGCTGAAAGGCTTGTCGCAGTGTCTACTGCAATTACAATTTTACGAATGACCGATGCCTCCCCGTCCATTATAGCTATTCGGTTCAATTGAGGGAAGGGCAGGTCAAACGCGACGCAATAAAGGTTATCGCTCGAGCTGCGACCACCGAGGAGGAGCATCAAACGCGAGATCAGCTTGTTCGAGTGCTGAAAATCGACCTGCCTCTTGTGCCCCTCTTTGCTCTTGCTCCAGTTTGCCACTCACATGTATAGGTTGGAATGCCATACGGATGTCGAAGGGACAGTTTCCGCGTATACCCGAGGCTAGTATAGATAAACAGTGGCGGTTCTGGTTCAACTGTTCCACTTCCCCCCCCCCCTTTGCCCCTGACATGCGGCAACCAGGGCCAAGCTGCGGCAAGTGTGCTCGAGAGCGGTCCGACCGAGTACCTCCCGAACTGCAGCTGCTGTTACTTGATGGACCGCCGCATGCGCTGCTTGAGTTTTTGCGGAATCTTGTGCAGCTTGTGCACGCAATGAATATATACATTTTTGTGTGAGCGAGTGCGTTGCATGATAATGTAGGATGCAGAGTGGTGGAAGAATAATTGTTAAGATTTTTGTTTTATTTTGATTAATGAGTTTTTTTATTTAATTTAATACATGTACATTTACAAAATTATTTTGTATAAAATTAATTCTTGAAATATAATACACTTTTACAGCTCTTTATTATAATCGTCATCGTTGTCGTCGTTGTCATCATCAACCCATTCCATATTAAAGTAAAACTTTTTCATTCGTTTGACGTTATGAAAAGCACACATGTATCTTTAGGCACCGTTGTGATGAGCCCAAGTAGTAACTAATCTTGGAAGTTCAAACGGCGGATAGTCTGTCATATCAGTGACTTTAAAGCCAAATCTTTCAAGCCACTTTTTTTTTAAATCTCCAGTAACAAGTATTTTCGCAGCATTTTCAAGATTCTCCAGTAAAATATTTCCTATTTCTGTGTACTCAATTTTTCCCGAGTCCCAGCTTAGTCCATGATAGTAAAGTTCAAAGTATAAATTATGTTTATACTTTGGTGGCAATTTTCGCCAGCTGAAGGGTGCCTAAAAAAGAAATACTTGTGCTTCTGCAATTCGTTGAGCGCATAATCATTACCTGGTTTCTTGAAACCTTGCAGGTCCACAAAATACTCCATTTTCTTCGCTATTATAATATTAGTTTTTTCTTCATAACCTTCATTTCTAGGACATGATCTTTTGTTGGTTAAATACTTATCAATGAAGTTTTTCAGCCAAGATTTCTTGTTTTTATCACCATCGCCTTAGTTGAAAGTTTTTGATACTTAACATTAGTAGTAAAATTGCTTGTACTCGGTTTATGCGACATATTGATTGAAGTCTTATTAAACAAATTGATTTTTCAAACAATTACACAGTCTTATCTTTCGATTTTGTTTTTTCAACCTCTACATCTTTCTTCTTCTGCTCGTTTCTCTTCATAAATTTTTCCCACTCTTCTTGTCGTCGTTTATTTTCTGCTTCTTCTTTACTCCAGCTCTTACTCCGGCCTTTATCCATGATGGCTGATAATAAACTGATGCTTGCAGAGTCCATGAATTAGGTTTATATAGCTTTACATGAGTTTCAACCGCCAGGCGGTTCTGGCTCAGTTGAACCAGAACCGCCAATGTTTATCTATACTGAGGCTTTTGATGCGTTTGGCGGTGTGTAGGTACACCTTGTAGGTACAGACGAGGCTGTTATACACATATATCTAATCAGCTGGGATCGTCCATCCATATATTATTATGGGTTTGTCATTGGAGCTCTTATTTGCGCGTAGACAACACACATCTGTGACAATCGTTATTGTCGGTTGAAATTCGACGAAACGATGTCTCTTTGTCGATGGTTCAGCGTTTTTCCATAATGACTTTTTTTCCCCGCTGATACGTGAAGCGAGGGGTTAAAAGGGGCGATGGGAGGAAAAAAAAAAAATCAAAAAAAAGACCATCACAGCTTCGAGGAGAGTAGGCGAAAGCTGCAGACGCGGCAATGCGGGCTATCGCCTCTATGTGTATATGTATAGGGGTGCATGTGTCCACTTTAGCATTTATGGAGGCATTTATAACCCATGGTCCACGCGTGTAGGGGTGAGTTATGCGATAGGAGCCGGGGGTGAGGGAAGGAGAGCGCCAGGTTCGATAGGAGAGGCGCCTCCAATCATTTCCCAATTAGCGACCAACTGCGCGCACAATAGCCGAGCGCACTGTGGAACTTATCCATGTGTATCTACGCACCCCCTACTACATATATGCAGGTAGGCAGTGATATTTTTTCACGCCTACGCCGGGTTATTGGAATTGCGATTGGATTGGGCGCGATTCCTTTTTTTTCCTGTTACGGATCCGATATTCTAAATTAAAGTGATTTAGAGGACTCCTACGGGGAAGGGAGGAATTGAAAATTTTTACAGCCCACGGAGGGACGTAATTCGGATATTGCGATAAAAATTTGTGCGCTCTACTGCAAGTAGGATGGTGTCTTGAGCTGCTATTACTACGGAAGGTACACATGGAAGGATGAATCCTCGGATGAATCTTGTGATGGTTAATAACAGTAAAAATGAGCAAGTATAATCGGTGGCTTATCAACAGTTGATGAGGAGAAAAAAGAGGAGTCGTGGAAATCGAATTGAAAACTCGGTGATTAAAACTCATTGGGCTCGTCGAAGCGTAAATTGGACAAAAATACGATGCATTAATTTTGCACCGCGTTGGTATAATTGAACGGCCCACTGGGAGCTTAATTTGCCGCCCAATCGGTACTCTCTTTCATTTTTTTTCCTCCTTCCCTTTCTTTTGATTTATTGGTGTACACGAGACGCTACACAGCCCACATTCACTGCTCGGAACGGTAAACCGAGTGCTCTGGTGTTATTTTTCTTTTCTTCTCTTTTCTTTTTTTTATTTTTTTTTTCTCTCTCTCCATTGGCGTATATAGTGATCATTACTTTGGTATTGGCATCCTTTTCGAGGGCAAACAAAAAGATTCGTCGCAGATTATATGAAAGGCTCGCAACAATGGATAACCACGTTGTTTCCATTGCGAAACGACAAACAACCACTTTCGACGGGGGATGAAAAAAAGCTTTGCTGTTTGGATAAAAAAAAAAAAAAAAAAAACAATCCCAACCATACGCGCTCGTTAGCGGACATTGTCACTGCGAATTAGCGGCTGATTTGTTTTACGCCCCCTCCTTTCCCTCCCCGACAGCGAACAATGCCTCGAGCTAAAAAATAAAAATCACCCGTGCCTCCGTCAGCAGCTGCACAAAGAGGACATTTAACAATATATATATTCTTTTCTCTTCATTTTTCTCTGTACAAAATATTTTCCCTCTGTTGCAGAATTTGGCGACCTAGCCGACGGAGAGCCACCAGCGCTACACCCCATTGTCCCCGTGAGGGCAGATAACCCACCCCCTCCTCGTGGGAGGAAGGAATTATTCAGCGCGACGGAGCCGGACATCGTCGGCGACTACGACTTGGTACACACTGCATGCATATATACGCGAGAGATCGGAACAACGGCGGAGAGCTGTGTGCGGTATATGACGTGCCCAAGGACGGCGAGTAAGGGCTCCAGACGAAATGAGACTCGCGAGATTGTGTACCCAAGTGTGTGCACATGTAGAGTTGTGTGCGTGGGTGACGACGGCTCCTCCTCGCCATATATATACCGGGACTGTGCGAAGCAGGAGCCAAGCGCTTCCATGCAAAGTAAAGGGGAAAGGTGCAAACCGGCTGGGACAGCAGTTTCCGATCGACGCTGCGTTTTTGTCCCTCCCCCCCGCCCTCTTTTCAGCTCGTCCACCGCGTCTGGACTTTGTTTTTTTTTTTTATATTTTTTTTTTTTTTTTTTTTTTTTTTTTTTTTTTTTTTTTTTTTTTTTTTTTNTTTTTTGTTTTTGTTTGCACTACGCGCGCGGAAGAAAATTCAAAGAGGGGCGAGATTATTTTTCAATGATCGTGTATAAAATATTATAACTGTCAGAGAGGATTTTCATATTCTTGTAACTTTTATATAAACGTGCGAGAGAGCTATTGTTGGTGGAAAAGAAGAGAAAAAGATATTGATTACGCGTGCAAATTTCCCGGAATTGTACAGTACAATGCTTGTATGCCCAAGTGAGTCGATTTCCGTATCCATCGAAAAAAGAAAAACGATCAAAATGGCCCCTATACGCTCGTCGGGGCGATTTTTTTATGCACTCGGGTGTGCTTTCATCGCGGAAAATTATACGGCGGCGCACGACCGGACAGGGGCCGCGTGTAATTTAGCCGCGGCTTATGACAGTCGGTTAATTGAAAAATTAGAGGCCCGAGCAGCTCTGGTATTTTTTTTTTTTTTTTTCGTGCCGCTGTCGATCGGAACGGCCGTGCAACCCCAATTTCGCCGAAGGCGCGGCAGCATCGATTACTCAATTATACCGTTGCGCGTGCGTTGGATGTACCATACATGCACGCGGTTTTTGTTGTTTTTTTTTTTGTTTTTTTTTCGCGACTCGCTCACGGGAAATTAACGACGGTAATTAACGATCTTGTTAGACGAGCCGAGAGGGAGGAGGAGGAGAGACGAAACAGTGGACGGATGATCGTTAAATTCACGCTCCCGTGAACCGACAGAGGGACTAATAGAGTGTGGATGTATAGCAGCCTCGATCGAGCGAAACGCGCTTCTTTTGCGAGAAAGAGAGAGTTATCCATGCATAAGCCGTATCGGATTAACGTCGCGGAGGCGCAGCCTATGATATAATTATACACTTTTGTTTCACTTGAGCGTCTTTTTTTACCGCTACATCCATATTATACATACATACAGGACTCAACAACTGTACCTATTACGTCATGCCCGAGGTGGATCGTCATAGGTACCAAAAATTTGTCTTGTATAAAAAAAAAAAAAAAAAAAAAATATACTTCGAGGTAAACCGAGTTTGTGCTACAGAGACTATTCCACGTGGTGAAAGTATGATGAAACTATAAATAAATTTTGTAAATATTAAGCTACAGAGCGGCGTTTTTCTCGGGCCAGACCACGAGTTTTTTTGTACAATTTCACGTCAGGTGTGCATGAAAAGAGGGGAACAAAAAATGGCCTGCGTGCTTTTGCTCGCTCGGAAACAATGAAAAACATATACGCACGCGTGCGCTGCTTCGACTCGCTTCTTCTTGGGATTAAATTTTTTTCCGAGCGACGTGTTCCGTTCAACAACGGGGGGAAAAATAAAAATCGGCACTCGTCAAATCGAGACGAAGACGAGTAGCGGCGCATTTGAGCCTCGGCTGTGTAATACGAGAGCGTCAGCAGCAGTGACGAGATGACGGGGGCGCACGTATAAACAGGGTAGGTATATAGAACAAAAAATATATACATATACGTATAGGGACCAGCATCGAAAGCTGTTGCTGCGAGCTTGTATATATATTATTCATGAATATTTCAACGGCCAGTCTCGGCAATAAATAGCCGCGGTGTTATATTATTCGCTCGCGGAGGAAGGCTTGCGCCGTGGAAAATAAATCGGCCGCGAGTCGCGAGACGAACGGAATACTAACGAGCGCGCATACCGGTACATATATATAAACGAGGAACGGGAGTACAGACCAGCGCTGTGCAAGGGCTCGATTGATGTGTATATTTTTCTTTTGTTGGTTCGACGCAAGTATGGGTAAAGAGGTGTACTTGATCCGGGCGAGCATTGATTGTCGCGATCGGCAGCAGCTGCTCCACACTGTAAAGAGAGAGGGAGCGCTCGCTTGTACTTGGCCGTTGTCTTGGTTGCTCGGTGGTGGCTAGTCGTCAGTGACGGCCACGGGCGAGCGACAAACCATGAAAGCGCGACCCACCTGTTAGCCCCTCCGAACTTTGGCCTTTCATACGGTGCAACCTCGGGAAAGCAGCGCCAATGTAGGTAGTACCTGTGGAAAAGTATCGGAAAAAGTTTCGTGGTCTGGCCCGAGCGAGCGGGTAACACTGTGCGTGCGTGCTACGTGATGACGATGCGTGTATAGAGTGAGTGCGTTTGGAAAATTTTTGACCTTTGCTCGTCGAGCTGCAAAATTATGTACGTACATGCGTGAGAGAGTACAGCGTGCGAGGCTTCGTGCTGTGTACGATACGACGTATTCTAATAAAATTTTGTCTCTAAGATGCTGTGTACGTAAGCGTTTTTTTCCCCCTCCCCTGCTTCTTCTATCATTTTTGTATTTACATGTGCAACCACTTTGCTTACAAAATCCATTAGCATTAATGTATTCATAGTTGTTTTTATTACATTTTCATGGCTCCCTCTTCCCTTTACCTGCAGTTTGAATATTTACAAGTTTCGACCGCACTGTTTCTCTCTGAAATTTTACTTTTTTTTTTTTTTTTTCTTTTTCAAATAACCATCGGCTCTACTGATTTTCCGGGGTGAGTCGAGTTTGCGAAAGAAGATCCAGCTGCCGAGGACGAGGTGATTTCCAAAATATTTGGTCGTTTGCTGAACTTTGTGGCATCGGATGAAGAATTGTTTAAACAAATCGCTCTCGAGACAGCGCCGTCCCCTCGAAACTTTTCCACCAGCCAAGCCGAGTCCCCTCGACAGCGCTGTACCCCCCATAGATCAACGTCACTTGCAGCGCTACGGGATATACATACATACACATAGCCATAGCCTGTTGGGCGCCACGCCCGAGAATCAACTGCACGTAACGGAGATCGAAAGGGGTGGAAAAAATAAAAACGGGGTATTTCCAGCTGTGGGTCGCCTCGCCGCTCATTAGGACTCGTCGTTTAAAATTAAAACCTAATTACCGGGCTATTTGCGCGCAATTAAAGCAGGACGGCGGAGAGACGTTCAAACGGAGAAAGAAGAGGATGATGATACGCGAGCCACGCTCGTTAAGCCAACCATCTCCTTCTCGAGCGCGCCCCCTCAAACTTTTTCAATTTAAGGCGATCGCCGGGGAGGAAAAATCCCGAGCCCGCGATGGGCTTATGACCGACCAAAAAACCAAACCTAATTAAAGCCTCTCACCCGTTCGCGGGACCACCTGCAACAACCTCGAGCACGATGAAAAATCCCCCAAGCTCTCGCGGACCGATTTATCACGGCTTTGAGCCCCCCCTTTTTTTTTTTTTACTTTTTACACCCCTACACGAGACAAACGGGGACCGCGCGCTCGTCAACGATTAATCACACCCGAGGACGTGCTCCGTCGTTATTATTATTTTTCTCTCTCCGCTGCAAACGCACGATAACAACGAAATCTTTATTACGCTTCTGTTTTTTTTTTTTTTTTTTTTTTTTCCAAGGGCACATCTCGTGCAAAGGGAGAAAAAAACAGCCAAGTCCATCGGAGCGGCTCGTAAATTTGTGCCGGCGAAAGGGCGATAAATCGCGCGCGTCCAGGCTGGCCAGCCATGTAAAACCCATAACCGAAGATCGCGAGGGGGCTGCATATGTATATATGTGTAAAATCGCGGCTCCGAAACGAGCTCTAAAAGCCTCGGGCACGCGTCTCGCGAGCATCCGGAAGACCACGAAAGTGGGATGGGGGAGATAATACCGCCCTCCACGGGTTGGGACGTATAATACTCGCACGAGGGCCGGATGATAGGAATCTCGGGTCTCCCGTCTTTCGCGGTTCTCGTGCAGGCGCGCAATAAAGGAGTCGCGTATACGCGCTACATCTCTCCTCGCCTCTGTCCGCCGGGGGACATTTATTTTTAAGGGCTTGCTCCGCTGGTCATACACGTCGGGGTCGGGGTAATAGATTGTCCGGCCTTTTTGCATGCTGATGCGGGGGGGGGGGGCTGGTTCGCGTTTTTCTAAAGGCGGCAAAAGTGGATGTCGACGCTGCTTGAGATTTCACTCCAAAGGAGGAACCGATGGAAATTTAAGGTCTGCCTGGAACGAATCTTAATTTAATCGCTGTTGTAGGTAATTTTTACCTTGAAATTTCAAATAGGTATACTATGAGGAAAGAGCACGAGACAATTGGAGATGGCATTAATGCATACAACCAAAATTTCTTCACACTCGGTGGCAAGAAAACGCATTTTGACGAAATTTTGCCAATAATGTCTATACGCTTCGGTGGAGCTGGCCGTGCACACGTCATATGGGGCGCGACCCGCGTCGTTAGACGCACCCGTGCGATATGTTTCGGGGGGGGGGGCTGCTCACCCTTTCCCTCGTTTCGTCCCTCCGTACGCGCACATGTATGCAAACTGACGGCGTGTCGCGTTCGACGTAATGTAAAGATTCGTCACTGTCACGCCTGCCTCGCGTAGACGAGCCTGACGCCGCGCCATTTCAATCTAATTTTTTTTCTCCCACCCTCTCACTTTTTGCCCCCTTTTTTGCTGCGCACACGCTACACTGTATTTTTTTTTTTTTTCATTTCCACGTGTACAAGCGCGTTTTAAAGCTTTTTTTTATAATCCACCCGAGGAGGAGGGGGAGGAAAAAAATGGAAATTCCGGCGAGACTAGCGAAACATGTAAATACTCGGTAATTGGTAATTAAACGTCACGGGAAAGGGACACCTGCCACCGGCACCATCGGCTCATTTTTTTCAAATACACGAGCGCAGACGGAACTCTTTGCGCGTGCCAGTACCAGGCGAACGATATTCCACCCTTGGAGCGAAAAGTAAAACGTCAATCGTAAATAAAAAAAAAAACGTACCGTGGAAAAAGTCTTTGAGTTTATTCTCCTTTGTTCGTGAAATTTCGGAATGTTAAAATCGCGCGAGTCTACTGCAAGGGGGCTGGGACAAATAAATTCCCGAACGCGATATCCGAGATATGGCACGGGA